CCGATCCATATCAATAGCAGTCTTAAAAAAAGTGCATGGTACACGTCCATATGTCCTAAGGAATCTGGAAAACCATGTCTCCTAGATGATTACTTAACCAGCTCCTTCAGTCTCTCAGATACCCTCGAAGCCTCCAAGCCAATTCTGGTGCTGACAGCCTGCAAACACAGGTAATAACAGCTCATCACACATGTAGGTAAAATGCTGTAGGCTAACAGGAAGACCGACGCATCCTGATCGATTGGAGTCGTAGCTGCAAACACAAAAAAACCATATGTTTTTGGGAAGGATTTCGTTAACCTACGTAAGGTAAGGTGTCCTAATCCTATAAACAAGATCCCTTGCCTGGACATAAATCATCATCTGCCTTAGCTCGAGCTACCCAAACTAGTAAAGAGCAAAGAGAGTCGGATGGTGATTACCTGCGAATGTATTGTGTGGTAGATCTTGTCACCGACGACTGAGAAGCTAGCATGGATGACTTCGGCACCTTCTTCCTCGAGAACATTGATCACCTCATGGAACATGAAGCTCTTGTTCACACCACTTATCAGAAGTATCTCCAGGTTCAGATCCTGGTATTTTACTTCAATGATTGGCAATAGATAGCCCGTTCCCATCTCATTTCTGGCCGCGCTGGTCTGCACGAGCCTTCTCTGCTTCAACTTTTCGATCCTTTCACCAAGATATTTGATGTAAGATGCGGCTTGATCCAAGTTGTCTTGCTTTGTCATTATATCCTGTAACTCAATAGCAATTCTTGTATTATAATGTAGCAGATGATGGAAGAAAAGTAGACAAGTCCACGACTTTTATCTCAGGACATACAATTACTGCAATTATTTTGTCCATCGATTATTAGTTTAAGAATACTTTGTGACAGGAAGGAATGTCAACGTGGATGATGGCGATGACGCATTCTGAGATCAATCAAATCATGTAAGAGAAAGAAGAAAGAGAGAGAAACCCATTCATCAGGCAGTAGGGTTCTGATGGAGATAAAACATCCGAGAAAGAAATAGAAGCGCAGGAAGAAGCAAGATGCTTACCTTTGCCGTGGTTCTGTGTTCCGCGGGAATGATGGAGGAAAGCTTCAAGTACAGGGTCTTCATGTGCAGTCTCCTATATTTTTCCGCCATCTTCCTCTCCAACTTAAGATCTGCTCGACCACCGTGACAGTTCCTCATGGTCTCTCTTCCTGTTGGCAATTAATTATCTCTGCAACTCTCTGCACGCACCTTGTCTGATGATTCCTAGCGCCTGGTGAATATATAGTGGGCGGAGGAGCCGTGTTTAGTGTGGCCGAACCAGGAGAGGAGGAAATCTGTGGTCCGCTGCCGGGTTTGGGAGGATGAGAACAAGAGAGAAGTGAGGAGGAAATCTGTGGTCCGCTGCCGGGATTTAGGAGGATGAGAGAGAAGTTGATAGCAGTTAAAATTTTTTCAACTATACGAGGAAATCTCTTTATTCTGTTAGGGGAGAGCGACATGTTAATATATTTAAGCTAAAGCTTATTCAATAAAGTTTCTTCAATAATTCTTATCTTCTATTCTTTCCAACATGATATTAGAGCTTGCCTAGAGCAAGCTCTTTTCTCGCTGCCGATTCATTATTGTTGCTTCTTCACCTATGGCGATAAAAGAAAAGACTTTCTACTACTGTTTTTCCGTTGTTAGGCCATCAGTGCGACAAATCTTTTCTCCTCGGCGAACAACAATTGTCTTCTCCACTGCCACTCTGCGCCAACGTTTGTTCCCCTTCGTTGTGGCACTGCCCTTTCCTCCTCTGCTGCAGCTTTCTTCTCTATTGTAGCATCGTTGCAGCTTCCTCCTCTACTGCACCTCTATTCCAACTTCCTCCTCTGCTGTACTTCTGCTATAGTTTCCTCCTCTGCTATAGCATCGTTGTAACTTATTCCTTTGCTACATACAGTATTGCTATAACTTTTTCATTGCTGTAGCTTTCTCTTATGCTACAACCGTCGCTGTCGTCGTCGCAACCGCAGCAACAACAACAACAGCAACAACGATCTGCTCTTGCTCTACTCACGAAGCTTCTGGCTCGTAAACTGTTTGCTTTGCATCAATCCAAGATTGGTAACCTTGACAGGAGCATCATCTTACGGGGGCATGATAGTAAATAAGATTTTTTCAATTATACGAGGAAATCTCTCTACTCTGTTGAGAGAAATCATTTATTCTGTTGAGGAAAATTCTTCCTCTTAATCTGTATAAATAGGAGAGTATACAGTATTTAAACTAAAGCTTTTTTAAAACTTTTTCAATAAAGTTTCTTCAATAATTCAACTTATCTTTTAACAGAGTGGAATGCGAAAAATGATGGAATACTGACCGGCCAAACATTTCAACCAAAGCTGGCTCACGTCTACACCACACACTCCGCTCTCGCTGTCTCTCCTTTCTGGATCCGATAACTAACCAAAACTGGCGGTTTTTTTTATGCTGATTTGGGTTTATAGGTTCACATTGCAAATGAATCGAGTAATTTCAGTTAAATTCACCTCTATGGTCGGTCTAATTCATCATTTTATCGTCCTTCTCATTATTATCTGATTCGCTTAAGAACTGCATGCTGTGGCAATCACTTGATGTTCATAATCTGCTATATCAGCACGACAACGTCTTCTCTGAAAGCACAAGTATCGGCTTTTTGTTGGTGGATGTTGATAGCTTTACCTTTGCAGTACCACACACTTGTAATCACGCAAGGTTAATGCTTCGATTTCTAATCAGTCGAGTGCCTTTTTGTTGTGCAATGAAGTCTGCGAAGACAAGGCCACCCTCGTAGCCATTGTTGTCCACCGTGGAGTGTACGAGATCCGAGATCTGCAGGGAGAGACCATGAGGCCATGTTCGATGATAGCCGACCAGAACATGCCCGGGCCCTGTGAATACACGCACAGGTAGAGAGCTACACAGAACCCCCATTCTTCTTCTTCGTCTTCCTCTTCTTCCAGATATGCCACGACTAACACGTTCCCTTCGGTTCCCATACGTTGGAGGTATTGGATTTTCTTTCAGAACACCAAAGGGCGGAATAAATGTGCATCTTGAATGCATGCAGCTGACGTCTTCTTCGATAGAGACTGAACTCAAAACTTAACGAAGATGGGCAACGATGGAACATCAAATAAATTCATTCGATGAAGTAAACTGCCAACAACTTGATTGGGGCTCTTAAGACTCACAGCTGTGCCCATGGCCGGAGCCCGGTGGAGTTCTCCTCCATGTGTACGTGCTTCACGGAGGAAGAGTCATCTCATCCGGTGAACAGGACAAACCAAGTTGGAATAGTCATCTTATCCCACGTTTCTCTCTGGACAGTGGACTCGGTTCGGTACAGCTTCCGAACTCGGATACTGGGAAGCTCAATGAACGCGGCAGTCAACCCATAATACGGGGAGATGCAACGAATAAAGACTGGAATCAGTCTCTCGTACTGTAAACAGCAGGAAAGAATGCATAAAGGATCAATAATTTCAAGAGAAGCGGGCATGGAGAATTCAGTCAAGTTTGGTGTGCGTGCATGTATTTGAATCCTTTTACTCGATTCGAGCGTTCAAACCCTCGTCATGCCTCACGAATTATTTTGGCAAGAAACTGAAAAGCTTTTAGTCGATCGTCATCTAATATATAATTTTTATATGATTTTTATATGATATTTCAGATTAATAGAAGGAGACAGAGACTATCCCCATCATATAATTAAGAATCAGACAAATGATTACAAGTTATCTTCTTTTAATTAGTTATGTGGAGAAAAGATTAAAAATAAAATAGATAGTTAGAGGTGATTAAGGATTACCTCATCGTAAAATATTATTCCTTTTTGACTAAATATAAAAATTTATTTTTAATGTAGTAAAAAAAGAGGAGATCATTTTGAACCACTTGCGATCATGAATTACTAACTTGAATGTCGAAAGATTCACATGAGAGTCAATATTTCTATTTCGAAAGGTATCTTTGATAACTGTATGCCTTAGCAGGAAGATGAAACATCAGCATTAGCATCATTATTATCAGCCTTCGGAACAATCAAATCATCCACGATTATACGATTCTTCAGCACAATTATTGGAGTCTCTAAAACGTGTTAATCATCATGTCCCCTTCTCAGTACCAACTGTGGACTGCTGATAATTGTAGATGACAACATGTGAAGCCCCATCAGCCACCAATTATCAACTATGCCCATTGCCTTCACGCGTCGACATCTTGTCAATGGTATGTCACTTCCGCTCGGAATCTCACATTCGAGTCGAGGAATAGTAAGCTTAATTCGCCGACATTCTAGTGGTGGAAGTGACAAAGCCGGGTGTTTTGGTCAGTCAGGCGATTCCCAATTGCAATGATGTAAATAATTATTATAACACGCTACTTGGTGCCTACAAATGAACTGCCCAAGAGATCCCTCAACAAGTTCAATCACTACCTCCGCTGGGTGTGATCCTCCGGAAATGTGAGAGCTTCAATTGATGCTGATGACCACAAACCTCGCATGAACCAAGAATATGCTGTCCAGTTGAGAAGTGCTATAATTAGTCGCAACATCTTGCAAGTCCTCAAATCAGTCTGACTAAAGTTGGATGCTGCCTTCTACCTGCATGTTTTGCTGAAGGAATCAGAAGAAATGGGTACATTGATAAGCTTGTGGTCACCCACTCTTTTTCTCAACAGCAGAATTGCACAATATCATACAAAAAAGTGTGAATCAGCATGCCGTCTACTACATTTTTCGCTTCAATTATTATCTCGACATCTGTTCATCCTTCTCCAAGCACAAAACACATTGAGGTGCATGATATTAATATGGTTTCGACGTATCCAAAGTAGGAAACAAAAAGAGCTAAAACCAAAACTCCAACAAGCTTGACTATTATAACCAATCAAACGACTAGAATGACTGAATTAAAGGTTTGATGGCTGACAGACTCATAAAATAGCAATTGATTGCTTATCTAACTTACAAACATCATAATGTTTGGCCAGATGACAGCACCTCAAGTAGCAATGTTGTGTTAACATTTGCGCATCCGAATGAAACCTTGCGCATCCAAATATTAAAAACACGCATCTAAAAAACGTGACTGAAACATGAAACAGATAACAAAAAGGAAAACAGCTGCAGTTGGATGTTCCTGAGAATATGATAAAAAGTTTCAACCACTATAAGAATGACTATGCCAGGAGGTTGCGACACACTTTCATAACACAAGACCAGAAAGGAATTGTTGAGATATTTCTGGTATGCTAGAATTGAAATCCAACGTAACATTTATTTTAGAAGAGAGAAGAACCAAGATCATCGTTTAGAGCAATGACGCCTTCTAGTAAGCACATTGATCAAGAAACAAACTCAGCAATCCTCAGCACAGCATTTGTTTCAAGTTTATCTCTGATGTCATAGAGGCGTTGCAAATCCTACAAAAAGTTATCATGTTACATATGCAAAGCAAATAAAATATCAGACAACATTTCACTAACACAACCAGATGATTTACATGTTCAAGTGATGATAACAAAGGTTCATAACATAAGGTGATGCATTGTTCAAGTGGAAAAGAAAAACTCAGCAAGGTAGATATATTTGGAATTTAACATGAGTAAATATGATTTAAACCAGCAGAAGTCACTCATTGTCCTGTTTGTTAAGCAACAAAATAAATGACTGTTCATAAGAACAATGCCGGGTTAGGAACATTAGAAAAATGTTTCCTAAAGCAATAGAGTCAAATTCATGATGAAGTTATTGGAAAATAGAAGAAGCACATGCCAAATAAGTACAATGATAACACTAACACTAATTTATAACCTTAAGCAAACCATGGCCTATAGAAATGACCGTAAATAGAACCAATGATAGTTATAGCAGAGATGCAGAAAAGCACTGCCAATGCTAGCAAACAGAAACCAAGTGTTGCTTGTCACCATAAAACATGGTTCCATACTACATAGTTATGTACCACACATATCGTGCATGCTAGTTACAGTGGATGCATATCAACTTTCTCACTTAAAACGGTCCATATTATTCTTGGACTGATCTGATCTGGCTGTTCGTTATAGAGATGGGTCTTGAAACCCCCAAAAGACTGACGAACACCAGTCAAGTACCAAACAAAATAAATTTCTGATTATTTCAAAACAACTCAATCCACCATGATCCAGTTTGCTTGACCTGGCGTTTCCATATTGAAATTTTATGCTGTACAATCCATCTCGAACTTTTTCCTGATTCTGCAAATACTGTCATATAAGATCCCTCACGCATGACTCAGAAATTGAATAAATTGGTGAGGCTGGCATAACATTTCACCGAGTCAAAGGTTGACAAGCATGGATGAAGCTAAAACTACACTGCTGGATAGATTCCCATAACAAATCAGGGATGAACAACAAAAAATTCACGAAAAGATAAGGGGAAACAAGGGAGAGAAGAGACAACAGTTCAGAAAGATATGGGCCGGCACACTCAACTTTTATCACATTACATATATCAGAAATTCCAAAATATCAATCAAGCTACAGGAAATCCTTATTTGACCTTTATATTATATGGACAAATATGAGCAACAAACAATACAAGAACCCCTCTATTAAGTATGATGATTGGTGCCAGTCAGATACTAATCCTTCTTTTTTATTTTTTCTAGTACTCCAGAACCAAATAAAAACAAGAGTTTAACACTTTTCTTCCATTTGAGTTCCGACAAACATGCCACAGTCTATCAAAGGATCAGGACTCAAATAAATATATCATGGTACTCAAACAAACAAGTTTAAGAACTCTGTATTGGAAGCATCTGATGGCCACAAAACATATCTGTTTTGTTTGGTTTTTGAAATTTCATAGAGGAAAAATAAAATTAAGTTTCTAATTTTAAAAATTCAGGCAAAACGCTTCACCGAATAAGGGGGCTAAAAGAACAAACTCGAATGAAGGTTATGGGCATACAAGCTCTCAAACCCAATGAATAAGAGGGGGTTATGGGCAGGATTTGCCGTACCGAGCCGTACCGCCCGGTACGGGCGGTACGTACCGGTCCGAGTACTGTAGCAGTTAGTGTATCACTGTAGAAGTTACTGTATCACTGCAGCTACAGTACTCGGTACCGGTACCGAGCCCAGGTCGAAATACCGGTACGATACGGTATTGCGAACCTTGGTTATGGGCATACCAAACCAACAGATAAGGGGGTTAAAAGAATTTATTATTCTAGTAATCTTTAGAACTCTGATTTGGATTTGAGAGTTCTTCTTTGGTATGCCCATAATCTTCTTTAACCAAAGAGCAAACTCTCAAACCCAAAATCAGAGGTCTGAAGATTACTAGAATAATAAAAACAATATTACACTGGACCTATTCCTTACAAACAGAAAAAACCACAAGACTCCAATGTAACTGATCAAACAGCAGCTAGGAAAGTTAAAAGTTTGTGGTTGAAAATATATCCCATCACCTACTGTTTCTCCTAAAAATTGTGTCTATAATTAGTTGATTTTTCTGTCGAAAAGTTAAATAATGTAATAGTAACCCTGCAAACAGAAAAAAAAAAACAAACAAACAGAAGTCCTGAGGGACCTCTACAATTATAGAAAAACTAAAACAAAAAAGTATGTTGTGTTAAAATATTCTATAACAAAAAAAAAACAGATAACATCTTTGAGGTCAGTTCCAATTCATAACTAAACTGATCTAAAAGTATATGTGGGACTTGAGAAGTCAGGAAGAATATAAAGAAAGATCTAAACTTGCTAGATTTGAAGTATCTGTCGTAACATTTCAGACAAAGTAAAACAAGTAAACTAACTAAAACTAACCTAAGCAAAACAAACACTTCTGCTACAACAAGTGATACCGTCATAGTCTCTCAATCCAATTCATGGAATCAAACCAATTATGTTTTAAAGTAAAACAGGCAAATTATCATATAATATTTGCTAATTATGATGAACTACAAAAAAGAAGAGAGGATAAACGGATTACCTTCTGAAAGCCAAGTCCAGCCTCCAGGCCTTGCGGAGAGCATAGAAGTGAGCAATGCCGTGGCAGTAACGCTGTGAAAAGGCATCAAAGACTGTGCACAACCCAACTCAACCGCGGACCTGCGGGACCTAATCCGTCAGTAATGCATACAATTCACATTACAATAACAAAGCTACCACTTTTGCCACACACAATCCAACTATAAAACAAGAACCCATAAAAAATATTCAAATAAAAAGAAAGATGATGCGAAACGAGAAGAAAAAAAGAATAACAAAACTTCGAAGTTCTTAATTCTGAAAAAAATTGACTGCGTTGATGATCCAAAAATAAATCTACTGGTGAGCGCTTCCACATGGAAAAAAGTAGATTAGTAAGTACAAAAGATGTAAACTTTTCCAGATCATATCGCCCAAATTCTAAGTTAAAACTAATAAACGAATGGGATAAGATCGAAGACGATGGCGAAAGATGCGAGGGAGAAGTACCTCGAGATTCCCGAGGGACGCTTGCGGCGCGAGAGCCGAGAGAAGGCCCGAGTTGGAGGAGAAGAAGATGGGAAAGCTCTCGAGGTGGCGGCAACGGAGATCAGAGAAGAAGGGATGCCACGGCATGCGAGGGCTCTTCGTGCGCCGCCAATCGCCGCCGCCATGTTTACGTTTGGCCCTCTTCTAACCTCCGCTATTTTGCCGTTGCGTAGTAGCAGTCACTGTTCCACCGATGCCACATTGACATGGTGGACAACCACGATGCTAACGCCGTATGGTTGACGTGGCTCATGGTATATGACAGTCTTTGCATAAACAAGGATTCTTCAATCCATTTCACCATGCTAACGTGACATGGCTCAGTCGGCTCCTAAAAATAATTGGTAACTTCATCGAAGCGTCGCTAATCTCGACCGTTCAAGTCAAACTTCCGTACGATACGTTTACGGTTGATTAGTTTCTCCATAGTGCAGATTGATTATGATAATATAATTAATTAGTGAAGTTTGAAACTCGGTCTTTTCACAAAAATTTCTCTTATATTTTTAAGTTCTTCTCTGTATCAACCAGCAAATGATTTGATTGATTATCTTTTATTTTCTTTAAATTTCCAATAATCCAACAAAATTTATAGCCTTATTTGTTTATATAAAATATTACAGCATTTAAAAACAACGAATGTTATTTAAGAATATACGTTTTATGAAAAAGGTATGGCACCGTTAGACACATCATAGCATACTTTAAAAAGCACTACAGTATTATTAGACTATAGAATATGCACAATACGATGAAGATTAAATCGATTAATTATATTAAAAATAAAATGGGAGATTTTGATTTACTCAAATAAATCCAGAAAAGAAACAATTTTATATCATGGATGAATTTTAATGATTTTGGTGAAATCTCCAAATCATGGAATCAAGGGATGTGCATGCAGCAGACAGACATTGGCATACGCATGTATGTGCTCCATACTTTTTATCAAGTAAATAAGCCGTAGCACTGAAACATTATGTAGGATTACGTAGACAGAGTACATGACTTTCATTGCACACATCTAAAGCTATAGAATTGCATGAGATGCAACTCCTATCAATCTATAAAACTAGTGCATAATCGACTGCCTCCACAGTCCTTTTTAAGTACAGCAGAATAGATAAGATTGCTCCTAGTCCTGCAGACGTAGGCTACATGCATGCGCCATCTTTCACGACTTGCTTAAGAGTCCAGGCACCAGCAGTAGTAATCGGATGCCGAGAGCTCCAGTAACGCATCAGGTGTCATCTTCTCCAGCTCCCGTTGCCTCCACGCTGGGTAATTGTTGCGGCTCTCGCCGCAGCCTGAGGCGAAGTCGCGCGGATGATTCTGTGATCGCATCCTGATATAAATCCTCATCGCAGCCACACAGTCCTCGTACGGGTCATGCGTTCCGGTTTGAATGTCATATCTGCGGATGAATTATATGTATACGTGAACAAGCGCGTGCGAGCTGAAGCACGATAAATGAACCTTACTTGTGTTCACTCACCCGAGGTAGGCTTGTGTCAGATACTTGAGCGAATTGCTGAGCTTGCTAGTCCTCATCAGCGGTGGGTAGATTGCTGTGTCCCTGCATGCGCTCGGAGAGATAGATGATCGCTTGCTCAGAAAGATGATCGCTTGAAACTCAGATTGGATACAGCAGGTACCTGATCAAGAATTCAGGGTATTCAACTCCAAGGCACTCGAGGTCGTGATCCAGACCGTGCCCTACGAGGATTCTTGCCTTTCCACCCCGAGAGCGTATCTTCCAGATGGGTTCTCCGTTGCTAAGGAAGTCCTGAATCCTCCTCTGTGCTTGCTTCAGCGCCATTGCGTCCCTCAAGTATTCAGGTCTTATCCCTGTCGTTTCATACCTGGACCGATTTGAAGTATTAGGTGCTCCTCCTATTCGTGTGATAAGGAGTTCCAAGTTGATCACCGAGTTTGTTCAGAGAAGTACAGGAAATAAAGAAGGCATACAAAGGCACCTATAGTTTGTGACCGGTATTTGGGGCTTGATGTAGGTCTGGAAGATAACGTTCTCGTCCTCGCCAATCACGCAGACCCTGGCACACAGGTCTAGTGATCCATCGCTTCCTCCCCCGACCATCTTGCAAGCCAAAGCAACTACCTGGGAACCTTGATTTCGAGTGCCATAATCCGATGAGCCCTGCAAGCTCATCCTCGACATCCGAGAGGTAAGCCCCTAAAAGAAGAATGAAGATAATAATGGGTATGCTGGCTCGACTATGATTACGGACTATGATTAAGATGCACTTAGAGACTCGAGAGAATCAACGGATGATCCATTAAGTGCATCAAACTGTCACCTATACTGTTCTGGAAAGAATCTTATTTCAGATATTAAAGATCCAACTCCTACTTAATTCAGACCATAAGAAGAAAACAACATGAGAACATGAAACACAGCCCTTCACGACACTTCTTCTTTCTTCCTTTAAGGGGATGATGCCGTGTTTTGAGCTGATTTCTATCATTTAGGTCACTCACCGAAGCAGCGCGAGAGAGTTGGCATGATGCACGGTGAGTTCTAAGAGCATTTGGACTTTCGAAGATGTTGAGGCATAGATTGCATCCTCGAGTTCTGAATACCCTCGCACATTCAATCTTCGGCAGTGGTCCTTCAACAAAGATATCATCTGATCTTTAGAATACAAATGTCGAGCGACGAGAGCTGCTTCCAACTTCAGACATCGCTTACCTATCAGATGCTCCCTGAGAGATTCAAAAAACCTGCAGTGTTTTTGGCATACCCCACACTTTGGCTCATGCACCGAGTGAAATGAAACCCTCATATGTTCCACCAGATGCTCCACCTTGTTGTATTGCCTGAAACATGCTGCGCATTTGTTTCTGCTCGTACCGCATTTAATAGCCAGATTAGAAATATACGAAAGAACTTCAAATAACACAATATAAAGTATGACCATTAGGAAAAGAAACAGGAACGTACACATGCATGATGCATAAAAGATGAGTGCACGTGAAGAAGGATTGGTGGTGTACCTAACACTCTCAGAGTCATGCCTATTGTCCATGGCTGATCTGCGTCGCTCTGAACTGCCAGAGGGAAATGGCTCAAGGTTGGCCAAGAGACGGAGTGTTGGTTCCGTATTTATATACAAGGTTGCCAGTGGCCTTCGGGTACAGCCTTCACTAGAAACTAGTGGGTACGAGTGCATCAGCAATTAAACCGGAGATCTCCCATCTCCATAGATTTTAGGTGGTGTAGTCTTGATCCTTCGAATCCCTAAGTGGATCTATTAGTTGAACTGGAATTAGGATCATCAACCTTATACGATGTCGGGTTTAAGAGAAGGGCACCATTGCTCCAGACATGGCGTAAAGCGTTTTGACTCGGAGAGTTCTTTGTGCACCATATGTAACCTTTTCATTATGGTCCCACTGGATTCTTGTCTTTCACAGATACCCGGTCAAAAGAAATGGTGGAAAAGAATAAGGTTTAAAGGGTTCAGGATTCCATGTCCACACCATGTATAATATCTTTGACTTTTAGAACCTCTACAGTAAAAATGTCAGACAAAAAGATGCAGCTAAATTCATAAGACATTCTTAATGTCGGAGAAGTAGAATCCTCTATGGATGTCCATGTTGCACTGTGCTGTCCTGCATCGCAGACCTTGTGTACATGCAAATGTGTCTATGGCAGCAGCTCGTCAGATTCTTTCCTTACCTGGAATCACGTCTCTTGATGATAGAGCTTGCACACTTTGTTCTTGTAGTCGACTGTCATCTCGCCGCTGTCGTGATTTTAATTTGTTAATCACCCAAGCAGGCAGTCCAATTGCATGCGCAAGTGGTTCATCTTGGATCTCGAGAGCACTGGATATCTGCTTTTGACATGCAGTCAGATGTGGAGGATAAAGCAGCAGGTCCGGCATTATATTCCTGCATTATAAAGAACATCTGCTGCACATCGCCGAGAGATGTCTACCTCATCATTAACCTTGTGGTTTCTTTTGTTCACTTGATTATTCCAGACCTTATCATCGACACAATTTACCTCTGCCTTTTGGAGGCGTTGTTTGTCCCTCAGTTTCAATTACAGTGTATGTATTATAACTAGCA